TTGAGAGGCCCAAAAGCAGCACACGGCCTGGCCCTTTCTCCTGGGGACCCTATGGGGACCCTGGGACCCTATGAGTCCTTCCCTTCCAGACCCTGAACTCGCTGTTCCCCGCCCCTGCAACACCTTCCCCGGACACCCCTTGGCCCTTGTTGACTGCCACTCCTGCCTTGTGGTGCAGCTCAGCAAGGCCCGTCCTGACCCCTTTGTGTGGGTGACATTCCTCTGTCATATTCTTCATGGCACTAACCTCATTCATCTCAGGACATTTCCTGTCACTTGCAGTGGCATCATGGTAGTTACTCCTGTAGTTACTTCTGTTTCATCCCTCCGGCTGTGAACTCCCTGAGGCGGGAGCCACTGCTATCTTGGCTCCCACTGTGGCTGCCACATGGAGACCTTCATGCGTGTTTGTTGGGTGAATTAACTCAAGTGCATAATAACAAGAACAAATGGAAATCTTCCTCTAGAAAGACGGAAGACTGTTGAGGGCAGCTCACGTGGAAACAGCTTGGCATCTCCATGCCCATCCCCACCTCTGGGTCCTCCTCACTGTCCCGCGACATCCTCTCCCCAGGTTCTGCAGCTGGTCACTTCCCACACATGGTCGCATGAGTAGACGCTTAGCAAGGAGTGCGTTATGGAGGACAGATTTCTGCCACCCACTTCACCGAAGTGGAAGCACAGCTTCCATTAGGCTCAGGTTCTTTGGGAGAATTTCACCTCTTTTGTTACCTCTAATCTTACCTATGTGTAACCACACATTTTGGTCTTCTTAAATCTTTTAGATAATCATCAGATAATTTTACTTACCTGTTATTCTACCACTTTCTACCTTACCTTTTCTTCAGGCCACCTCCAAGGGCTTTAACCTGCCTAAAGGTTAGGACATATACGGCTGCCACACATTGATCTCTGGGCGTAACCAAGATGGCATAACCACCAGCATTCCCAATTTCTCTTTGTCTCTTCAGAATGCTGACAGACAAAGAAGAGCATTTTCTTTAGTCTCCAAATGTGTGGCTCACACCTGAAATGCCAACACTTTGTGAGGCTAAGGCAGGTGGATCACCTGAGGTCAGGAGTTCAAGACCAGCCTGACCAATGTGGTGAAATCCTGTCTCTACTAAAGATACAAAAATTAGCCGGGCGTGGTGGTGGGCGCCTGTAGTCCCAGCTACTCTGGAGAGTGAGACAGAAAAATCGCTTGAACCTGGGAGGCGGAGGCTGCAGTGAGCTGAAATCGCGCCACTGCACTCCAGCCTGGGTGACAGAGAGAGATTCCGCTCCCCCCCCCCAAAAAGTGATGTGTGCGTATTAAAATTGCTGCATATATTTTCTAACAAGAGTGAGAAGATTGACACGATTGACAAGTTTCAAAACATGATTTAGATTCAGTTTACTTGGCAAAGTGTCTCTCCATAATACATATATTTCAAGGAAAATATTAGATATTACAAAAAGCCACCCTCATCTTTTACTGTCTTATCAAGATGAGTTATTTTTTCCAAAATATCCATTTTTAGGATTTGATTTTCCTACTAATTATTAAGATAGACCTTTAGGATAGAGTGAAAATATTTTAGTGTCAGTTCGTTTATTCTAAGCTATGCTTTTCTCTTAGTTTTTTAAATCTTTAAAATTTTACATGTGTTATCAGAGAAACGAATATCATCCAAGATGTTTCTCTTTCTCTTTTTTTTTGTTGTTGTTGTTAGAAAATTGCCCCACAAATGGTTTACGCAAGGTGAAAACCAGAGGTTGATAGGTAGATTCATACATACGTATCCCTTGTTCCTGTTCCTGGTCAAAAATTAAGGTGAGGAGTTGCCCTGTTGTACTTCTGTTTCAGATTAAGACTGTCGAATTACCCCATGAAATCGAATGTTTATTTTCTCTATTTTAGCACTTTAAAGATCAGAATTCTGTATCTAAAAACTTGTCTAAGTCTGCGATTCTTTACAAACAGACAAGTCCATGCTTTTAACCTCACTTGAAGTCGTCCTTTGAACATCGGCTGTCCCTGGCAAACAATGATTGACTCTGGGAGATTTGTCTCCACTGACGTATCCTTAACAGGAATCAAAAGTTACACAGTTCCTGGGTTAAGCAGTCCCCATGCGAGTAACGGCAGTCTGTGAGTTTACAGAGTTGTGGGTGCCGGCTGAGTCGTTTTGTATCTCACCATGTGGCTTCTCTCTACTCAGTAGGTGAGTGGAAGTGCCCAACCTTAGGCAGACTTTTCCGGAATTAACAAAACCATGTTTTTATTGCTGCAGGCTGGGAGAGGAATCCGGAAGCTTGAGGTTGGCTTTGAGGTAGCCTTTCTGTTGTCTGCACGTCTGGCGTGCATTCCCATGCCGGTTTAAGGTGGACTTTTAATCATCTAAATGGCCCCAGCAGAAGACATTTTAATAAATTGGGGGAATGCTTATACAATGTAACAGCATGTAGCCATGTCAAAGTCCCATTGAGGAAGAATACTTAGTGACTGACATGGTTTGCACATGTTCCCTCCAAACCTCTGTTGAAATGTGGCCTCCAGGATTGGAGGTGGCTGAGCAGGAATGTTTGGGTCATGGGGACAGATCCCTTATGAATGGCTTTGTGCTGTCCTCGCAGTAGTGAGTGACTTCTCACTTTGTTAGTTCAGGCAGAGTTGGTTGCTTGAAAGAGCCTGGGACCACCTCCTCTCTTGCCATGCAATGCGTGAGCTCCCCCGTGCCTTCCGCTGTGCGTAAAAGCTTCCCGAGGCCTCACCAGAGGCTGAGCAGATGATGGTGCCATACTTACACAGGCTGCAGAACTGAGGGCCAAAGTAACCTCTTTTTTCTTTGTCAATGATCCAGTCTCCGGTACTACGTTAGTACAAAACAGACTAACGTAGTGACACTGGAAAGTGTTTAATAAAAATGCTGGGTAATAGTTATTAAGCATAAATGATGTGCCAGATACATACATTAATACATTTCATCCTCAAAAACTACGGATTTTCCCAAGTTCACAGAGTGAGTGGTAACCAGGAGGCACCCCTGCCTCTGTATCATGTATTACCTCCTTTTTATTTTCTAAAACAATGCACAGGATAATGATCACAGTTTCTATCAAACATTATATACACATACGTGTGAGTGTATGTCCAGCTCACTGGAGGCAAGATGATAGGTGATTTTAATGTTTTTCTTTGTACTTCCCAATTTTTCGGCAGCATAGATGGATAAATGTTATAAAAAGAAAAAGGAGTGGATTTCTTTAGCACTAGGTATGTTTAGACAAAGTAGGAAGAGAAACAGTTTCAAAACAGAACAATGATCCACCTTCCTACAATGTTATGTGCCCTGATGTCTTCATTACTGCGAGAAATTAAGGACCGACCACAGTCGACTCTGCAAGGGAGGCTGGTTTTTGTCCAGTTGTTGGACACTTGCAGGTGACTTGCCCAAGGTCAGGATGAGTCTAAGATAACATTCAAGCTCAGTTAAAGAAGGTGTTTCTTTTTCTTTCTACAGAAGTACATATTTAGGATGCCTTGCCCAAGCTCCACTTCCTTTTTTATTACTCTTGAGAGCTGCTTCCCTTCCCCGAGAGTCTTTAGACCTCCTTACCTCTGTCCTGTGACTAAGCCCCACTTGTCAGTCATCTTGGAGAAAAAATTTCCCTCCCTGCATCATGACCATCTTGGTTCACTAATTAAAGCAGCTGAAAGCACTAAAACTCCTTTTTTCCACAAGACGCTCTTCCCGCCTCTCCCCAGTGCGGAGTTGAGCCCCTGCCTCCGTGCCTCCATTGTGCCCTGGCAGCACTGTGGCCTGGTGGCAGCGTCTTCAGCAAGTTACTTGTTTTTTTTTTTTTTTCTTTTTTCCTACCAGAAAGTGAGTTCTGCAAAGGTAGGAACTTATCTGTCTGACAGGCTGTGCTGTCTGTGCATTGCCAGCATGGGCACGCAGGGTGCTTTCCAGAGGGAAGTGACACACACGTGCCTCTTGTGAATCGCCATCTCAGGAGGCATGCCAGCTCTTGAGGCCACACTTAGACTAAGAAGTCAGAGTAGTCAGTCTCAGGTGCAGGAGTCAAGAAAAAATAGATTGGGTGGAGAATAAGAGCAATTTTGAGAGCCTTACAGAAAAACAAAACAGACATTACCAAAGGATGAAGGACACGAGCCTCATGCTTTTTCTAAGCTGTATGAATGACATGGGGAAGCAACGTATGGTATTAGTGAGAGGCTCTTTCTTTCCTTCTTTCTCTCTCTCTTTTTTTTTTTTTTTTTTGAGACAGTCTCGCTTTGTCGCCCAGGCTGGAATGCAGTGGTGCAATCTCGGCTCACTGCAACCTCCGCCTCCTGGATTCAAGGGATTCTTAAGACTCAGCCTCCTGAATAGCTGGGACTACAGGTGCCTGCCACCACGGCTGGCTAATTTTTGTATTTTTTGGTAGACAGGGTTTTGCCGTGTTGGCCAGGTTGGTCTCAAACTCCTGAACTCAAGTGATCTGCCTGGGATTACAGGCGTGAGCTTCTGTGCCCAGCCGGAAAAGGTTGTTTTTAATTTTTTTTTTTTACTTCTATCTTTTTGAGGGTCTCCCTCTGTGACCCAGGCTGGAGTACAGAGGTGCAGTCACTGTTCACTGAAGCCTCAGCCCCTTGAGCTTATGCCGTCTTCCCACCTCCGCCTCTCATGTAGCTGGGACTGCAGGGGTGTGCCACCATGCCCGGCTAATTTTTTTAAACTGCATTTTATAGTTATAGGGTTTCACAGTGTTGCCCAGGTTGGCCTTGAACTTGGGCCCAAGCAATTCTGCTGCCTAGGCCTATTGTACTTGCATGATGGAAACTGAATATAAAGGCCTGTGTTGTTTTAATCCATGTTTATGTGTAAGTTACAGTCTCCTGTTGTCATCTGTGTCTTCTGAAGGAGTCACCTGTTTGGTTAAATAAATTCTGGCCATTTTCTCTTAATTCATTTACCTGAAAAAAAGATGTGTTCTCCCTCTCCTTTGAACAGCATCCTGGTGGGGAAGAAGTCTTAAGGGAACAAGCTGGAGGTGACGCGACTGAGAACTTTGAGGATGTCGGGCACTCTACAGATGCCAGGGAAATGTCCAAAACATACATCATTGGGGAGCTCCATCCAGTAAGTACATTTTGGGGGCCTTTTCTTATTTGTATTTAAGGCTATCAGATGACCTTACCCAAGTCTGTAAGCTTGCATGGATACACATTTAAAAAGGAGTAAAGCAAAAACAACTTCTGATTTTAGGACCCCATTTTTGTCATAAATAAATTGACCAAAAATGTCTTTACATTTCACTGTTGCTTTTTTTTTTTTTTTTTTGAGACAGGTCTTACTCTGTCACCCAGGCTGGAGTGCAGTGGCGTGATCATGGCTCACGGCAGCCTCAACCTCCTGGGCTCAAGCCGTCCTCCTGCCTCTCCTCTTGGTAGCTGGGACTCCAGGCACACACCACCACACCTGATAAATTTCATATTTTTTGTAGAGATGGGGTTTCACCGTGTTGCCCAGGCTGGTCTCAAACTCCTGGGCTCAAGCCATCTGCCCACCTCAGCCTCTCAAAGTGCTGGGATTACAGGCATGAGCCCCTGTGCCCAGCCTGGTTGCATTTTTTACTGGCACTTCGTTTTAGTCAGCATGTCCCACCCCACAGCCACGCACAGGGAGTGGAGTGCTGCTCAGTCCTAGAAGTTCTGTGGGGCAGCACCTTTTACAGGGTGGGACAATCAACCCAGCATTGCTTTCTTTCCTTTTCTGACCGAAATATTTTTATTAAGAATCCCAATTCTACGTTCATTAAACCAAGGATATTTTAGTTCTAAAAATGATTAAAAAAATATAAAAACGGAGCTATGTGAAATGAATAAGCTCTGCCTTCAGTAGAACTAGTGCATTGTCTGTATTCCACTCACTGTACCCCAGACCTTCGAGGATGTCAGCTCTGGACCAGTCCGTTGACCAACTTTTGGAAAACACTGGCCTAATTTGGCTTTT